GTCCACCTTCTGTCCTAACCCCTTACCATGGAAAGGACAAAATGGATATTGACAGATTTGTAGGCCCCATGTACAGAAACACAAAAATCATAGTACCTTAAAGGTTAAAGGAAAATGGCCTATTGCTAATCAATTTTCAAAACATTCAGGTGTTTGCATTCAACTCAATGAGTTCTGTAAATAGTTGCTGCCAGTGTTTACTACAGTAGAAATGTTTACCAATGTGAATTATGATTGTCCCCTCATTTGAATAAGATAATTAAAAAGTATCTCTATTGGGATAGCAAAATTAATTAGGATAATAAATGCAGTTGTGATTCTGGCTCTGAAGTGTGCTGCTTCTATAGTAGTCCAATATTGATCTGACAAGCTTTAAATATGACGAGTGAATGTAAATAAGAGAATTACTTGCACTACGTGGAAGATGAAATACAAAAAAAAAAAAAGATCATTCTATCCCATTGAAGATGGAAGAAGATAGAAATACCTATTTGTTTTAATATCACATAGCAATAGGAATTCTGTGCTATGCATAGCTTATATTTTTACTTACTATAAAATTGCTCATTGATGGTAATAGACCACATAATTCAACAACAATAGTTACTGAAACTTACATTTTCATTGTTTAAACAAAATGTTTATGGCTGATGTATGAATAGAGCCAGCTGTACATTAGCTGTAAGGGGAGGAAAAAAACAAACCGGGAAGAGGGTTGGGGCAAGTCAGGGAGCTAGAGGTCTAGCTCAGTGGTACAATGCTTGTGTTTGATTCCCAGCACTTAAAAAAAAAAAAAATCTAACCCACAACAAAAAACAAACAGGTAAAATGTAGGCTCCCATTTTTGCAAAACTAAGTAAAATATTGATCCAAATCCATCTGGTCTGGCTACAGTTTGACACCCCTGGTGGCAGTATTCTGTTCTGCTTTAAATATCAAGGAAACTTCAAAACAGTAAAACTTCCAGGAATATGGTCGATTTGTTTTGGGGGTTTTGTTTTTATTGTGGGGGGCAGGTCACAGCAGGGTAAACAGGGAGGTAGTTGATCCCATCAGCCTACTTCAAGAGGAATGGGTCAAGAAACTACTGGGATGATATTGGGAACAAGGGTCCCTAATTTCTATCTTCTTACTTTTAAGGAAGGGGGCTGTCTGATTCTCAGTGCTTCCTCCGAGGGTCTCACTCTTCTTTCCACAGTTTCCCTCTGTTCACCCCGCCACCATTTTTACCACCACCAAAGGAACTTTAGACCACCACCCACTCCCACTGTCTTGACTTGTTGGAGACCAGGCGTGAGGCAGAGGAGAGACAATTATAAATTGTTTATGATATTGGAATTTAGACTATTATTGTGTTTTCCTACATTTGGAAGACTGAAGGAATATAAATTTTTGTGGACAAATATGATGTGGAATAAAGCACAGGCCCTTAATGTGGATGTCTTAAACTCCCATGTGACAACACTAAATTTTATTTAAAAATGTTAGAGTCTGTAAACAAGTCAGGATGGTGCCTGGCATTTTGCAGAGGGAGTGTTTTGTGAAGTAACGCCAGCGAGCCATTAAGTGTGGAGATTCCTTATTGGTTGACTGCTGTATCTAGTTTATGTTAATTAAGATAAGCTGTGTGTAATGTATATATACCCCTCCTGTCCTACAATAAACGGCTCCCACTCCTGCTGTATCAATGTACACAAGTTGCTTGTCAACCCCCAGTTATTTTGCTGCAGCCGGACTGCGGCAAACTGACATTTTTAACAAGTTATTAAATAAAATGTGATTGTTTAACATCTTCCAGCAATCATTCCTTACAAACACTACACAAGTATCCCTCAAACACACCCATACACCCATACTATGTACCCATTAAATAGTAACAATTAAAGAGTGAAGTTCGAATGCCAATCATTGGCCACTGAAATGGCTAACATTCCAAATATAGTACTTTTCTTTCCATTGTATGGATAGGACCTTAGTGATTAAATCATTCAACAAATGCTAAATGAGCTCCCACCATGTGTCAAGTACCACATGAAGCATGAGAAAGGAGTTCACAGTCTCACAGGGGAGAAGATCCCAGACAATCACACATCTTACTGAGCGAGAATTGTCACCATACTAATGCGTAGTGTATAATTCAACCATGGTTTTTAACCCCTATCACATCAAAGTGGTCCTTTTTTCTCACGTATAGTCAATCTAAAGTCATAGATCACATGATGGGAGGAAAAAAAAAAGATCTCATGGCTTCAGACAGTTCCCTAACACCTGTCTTATAAAAGCCTAAATGTCCCATGGGCTCAATAATAGGTATTTGAACATTCCCTCAAGGCTCACTTTTATTTGAGAGCAGACTGCTGCAATTGAGTGACTACCATGGCAGGCAGATGAGAACAAACCCTCCAGCTTTTACAGGCTCCTTGTAAGCTTATTCTTGGAAATGTCCCTCTCTGCCCATATGAAACAGATATGTGGTCTTCTGTTCCAAATAACAGGATTGGAGTAATATGATATTTCTAAGGGTAAGCCTGTTATAATCTAGTCTGAGAATTCATCTAACCCCTAGACTGAGAACTGGGAGGAAAAAAAAAAGGTATGATAACTGGGACTTTATTTGAGTTCCTCAAAGTATGCCTCTTGCCTACAATCCCTAAGTCCATCTATAGAATATCAATGAGCCATCAAATCCAAAAGCTAAAAATTCCACATAGCAACACAGTAAAGGAATGATACCCACAAATGTAAATATTCGTTAAACTGTTCCAAGTTTTGCAAATAAGTTTCTCTAAAACTTCATAAGTGTTTATCAGTAACTCTAATTTTTTTTTTATTTTCCTTCAGGCATATCAACACACTGAGATAGTGTTATGGTCAACACATCTGTTAACCAAGGGAGAAGAAGCAATTCAGAAAGCCACATCTAACTGAAAAGTTGCATTTTGACATAATTATCCATGGTTTTGAAATGGTTTAAGCTTTATGATATCCATCTTACAGATTTATACTACTACATGGGGTGTCACTTTGAATTATTGTTAGATTAATAAAACTGCAAGACCAGGTTTAAGCTGAAAGTTTATGAAAAGTGTTTATGACAGGATCAGTCAGGCTTCAGGCAGGATTAAACTTAAACTTTTATGATTTGGGATTGAATTGCTTAATGAACCAATCAACACTTTATTTTCCGCCTTCAGCCATACATTTTTTAAAATGATGCTTAACTATTAATCAACAGTTCAACTCCCACAGGTACTACATATTTAGGTACATAGGAAAACGAACCCCTCAAGAAGGAAGGTGTCTCGGTGGAAAAAGATGTGGCAAAAGATGTTTCACCCTAACTCTTCAAATAGTTCCATGGGATTAAAAGCATTATATTCAATATGATAATCTTTCAATACCCCAAACTCAAGTTTAGTCATAAGAATGTTCATTTCTCCAAAGATAAAATTTGAGTTGTTGTTAACTGCACTCTTTCAGGTAATCAAAAACAATTATCAGAATATTCCTTAATTGGAGGCTTTAGAAGTGTGACTGTTTCTGGTAGCTAAAGTATGCAAGTGGTAAACAGGAATAAAACTTTATTCCAAGTATTTGAGAACCTAACAAGAAAGATGTACTTTTTAAGTACTTGGAAAATTGAAGAACTTAACTATTAACTTCTAGAATCCAGAGGAGATGAAGAAAAAGAATAGTTAGGTGTTTTCAAGAATAATATATGGGGTATAGAAGAACTCCTTCTGATTACATGGATGCAGAAATACAACAGAATAAATAATGTTCTTTCAAATAAGTCAGCTTCACACTGTTAAAATGTTTCATGGCAAAGCCATCCTATATGGACGTGTTTAATCCATCCTATATCAGCTGGTTTAAAGCATTCTGTAAATACTTTTAATTATGATATAAACAAAAAGATGAAAATTCTCAAAAATTAAGAGGTCATTTTAAAAATATCAAATTAACATCTTACATTCAATGAATATTTCATATTTGGAGAGCGTTTTAGTTAGAGTGGTTTTTCTATGTCACGTAATCTTATTTTCACAAGATGATGATGGAATTAAATCCCATGAGGTTAAGTGACTTTGGCCAAGGCTCCAAAAATCAGACATGACAGAGCTGAGACTAGAGCAATATATCTTTGGAGGGTTTTGCACTACATTCAGTATCTGTTATCATTTAGATCACAAAACTTTGTTGCTTGAGAAGTTTCACTTGACCTCAGCTGCTAAATGAGTATTTATTACCCTTTGGGTTCCTATGCAGTAAAAAGAGCACTGGGCTTTGAAATACACGAATTCAGATTCAGTTACCACAATTTGCTACTCATAGGCAACTTAGTTTGCCTTAACAAATTTCTGGTTCTACATATTTAAGAAAAGTCTATAAGATGTAACAAGCTCATAAAATTTGCTGTGAGCCAAATGATATAATATGCTAATAATTGTGGCAAGGTGCTGAAAATATTAAACCTACCTTATTTGTACCCAATTCATCTCTATCTCCTTAAAAACATCTAGTACCATGCTTTATAATTGGTACTCAACAAATTGTTGACAATTGGCACTCAAACTTCTAAGCAAGCCTGAGTTTCCATCACAAAATAGGTAAGCAATTTAATTCTGACAACTACATATTTTGAATAATGGTTAATTTCGCTTAATATTTTGCTGTTTGAATGCATGAGTAATGTAAGTTCTGACTTCTCATCTATTTCAAATCTCAAAAAAAAAAAAAGAAAAGAAAAGCATCTCATTTATTTAGCCTGTACTTAAGAAGTGGAGAGAAAACCTGATCCATTAGCAATTTTAACAATTTTCTCTGTGAGAGCATTTTTTAAAATCTCAGAAAGAAGAATGCCCAAATATGAATTCAGGGTATGAAAACATAAGAACAAAACATGGCTTTGAGAGGGTCTAGAAAGTAGAGAAACAAACAAAAAGCAATATCCACAGGAAGTAAATACTTAAGAGTTTTCTTTTTACCAGGTACCCTGCTGAGCCAGGTTCAATCATGATCTGAATCAGGTCTCACATATTCCTTGCAGATTTGTGTTGTTACTATTATTAGGGTTCCCGTTCCACAGCTGATGTATCTGGAGGTAAAGTGACTTGCTGATGGGCACACAGGTAGGGGGACACAGTAGGCCAGCCACTTCTATCCACCACACAGGAAAGATGATGGTTTTCCTCTGTCTGCTTGGATATCTCCTCTGCATGCCATTTTTTTCAGTCTTCCACTTCTTTCTCCAAATCTAGGTTCCTAAGATAATAGGATTTGCAGTTTTTTCATCCTAGTCTTCAAAAATTATTTTATTACTACATTCTAGTTGAATATTATCAGTGTTTCTCAAACTTCTTGTTCTCACTCAAGAAAAACGCAAGAAAATAAAAATAAACTTGTTCTTGACCCACTCTACATAGATATCCACATAATATTGTGAATTGAGAGAAGAGTATGTAACAACCCATCATTCATTCACGGAGTTCCATTTATCCTGGTCCACTACAAGCCAGATAAAGTCCTACTCAGATTGTGGAGAAACCCTGCAGAGACACATCAATTACCCACACCTGCACTTAGTCCCTCAACCAAGCAACCTCTTCTTTTCCAAGCCCCTGGACTCTGCTAGTAGCCTCTCTCTCCAATCCCTAAGACTTAGTTTAAACATTATAACCTCAAGAAAGATCTTCTATGGCCAACTTTCTATCACTATAACAAAGACCTGAAATAAGTCAACTTTTAAAGAGAAAACATGTATTTTGACTTACAGTTTTGGAGGTGTCAGTCTATGATTGATTGGCCCCATTGGTTTAGGCCTGTGATGAGGCAGCACATCATGGCAGAAGCACACAGAGGAGCAAAACTGCTCAGCTCATGGCTAGGAAGCAAAACAGACAGGAAGAGGAAGTGGGCAGGGTCCCACAATCTCCTTCAAGGGCAAACCGTCAATAATCTGATGACTTCCCTACCAAGGCACTACACTGGGGAACAAGCCTTTAACACATAGACCTTTGGGAAACATTCCAGATTGAAACTATAGTACCTTGCCATCTAAAGAATTTCCCAATTATTTTCTCTCTCAGCCCAATGTTCTTAGTATAACCTTTAATAATTTATAATGCCTCTGATAATTGTCACTTCATTTCTTAGTGCGCTAGAAGAGATCCTTAAGAACTAAGAACTTCCATCAAAATGTCTTACAACCTCTATCTATTTTCAAAACAGTTCCCTCACCCTGATGATACCCTTACCAGCTAAAGAATTTTCTTCATTTCTAATTTCACCTAGGCCCTGGCAATCATCAATCTGCTTCTCTAAGTATTTATAATTTCTGGGCATTACATATTAATGGAGTCAAACAATGTGTGGTTTATTAAGTGTAACTTCTTTCAATTAGCATAGTGTTTTAGAGGTTTGTTCACATTGTAGCATCATTTTGTGGCTAAATAACATTCCATTGTATGTATCCACCACAGCTTATGAATTCATTCACCCATTGGTGGAAACTGGTGCTATTTCCACTTTGGGGTCATTCTGAATAATTGCAGTTACATTTATTTTTTAAAGTACTATGCTAGTAACACATATTTAAGTATTCCAGGGTAAGTATGATACCCAAAATTTGCCTTAAACACCTTAGCAAAACAACAAAAGTGAATACAAAGTAAGATCAAAAAAATCTTGATAATTATTGAAATTAGGAAATGTATATGGAGGAGTGGAGTTCATTGTACTTTTCTCCCTACTTTTACATATGATTGAAAAACTCCATAATTAAGAGGAATTTTTTGACTTTGTTTTTAACTTTATTTTGAGTCAGGGTCGAATTAAGTTGCCCTGGCCTCAAACTTGCAATCCTCCTGCCTCAGCCTCCTGAGTCACTGGGATCACAGGCATGTGCCACCACATCTGACAAGAAGAGTTTTTGTTAAGTTTTGTTAAGTCTTTAGAAACAGAAGGTTTGAATTAGACCATTTTGTTTTCATAAGACTAACTAATATATTCTACTAGTATATAATGTATCTCCCTCAAAAAAAAAAAAAAAGAAAAATGTCATGTATACAGAATGTGAACCACACAACTAGTTAGGGGGAGATGAGTAGACTAGAAAGTTAATAAAAATACTGCCTAGATCTTGTTGGGAAACTACAATTAAAAATAAAATTTATCCCCTACCTTCTCCACAAAGGCAGAAGAGAAAGAAAACAATTTCATCACTGAGTAATCATTCAACAGTATGTGCTGGGCAGTGTCATAGGCAATCTGCTGAGACTACAAAGAAACCTCACCCTCTTACAGAGCCAAGCAGATCCACCCATTACACATGTGTTCTCAAGTAAACAATAACCAATCCTCAAGGAGGACTTAAGGGCACCGTTTGTCACATAGAATTCATCTTAAATCCACTAGATAGATGAGGTGGCCACTGTGTTCGTTAATTGGCTTGAATTCAAAAGAAAAATAAACTTTTCACATCCTTATGACAAGAGGCAGTTTTGAAACTTGGAGAGAGGAACCTACCAAATCGAGGTTCATAACCTCCTTACCCCTGAAGCACGGCAACAGAGGCACTATCTTAAATTTCAACAAGGTGGTTCTCAAGTCCTTGAGAAAGATAGTCCTGCTTCACAAAGCTGGCTAGAGGATTGTTTCACTTTTTAAAAGTTTTACATACATTTCAAAGAGAGAAAGAAATTACAAGTTTTCAAAGAAAAGCCGACAAGGGTCTCTTCCAGCGTTTTCAGCACAGCAAATTAAGCCTCTTATTTGTCATTTTGTATTTGCCAGCTCTTTGTGGTAGAAGAAGGTACAAAAACAGGTTTTTCTCATTATAAATCACTAGTATAGCATTGTTTCCAAATACAGTGATATCGGTTTATTTAAAGGGAATGTATCGGGGGTCCAGAACAAATCTGTAGTCTGTCTATATGCACATGAAAAGGTCCACTAGAGCCCACTTTGGCAAACTTCAAGGAGCTTTTGATTCCCCTGAAGATCATATTCACATGCAGATTCTGACTCATTTGGTCTGGGGTGGGCCTGAGATTCTGCATTTCGAAAAAGCTCTTAGGCAAACTCCATGATGTTTACTGCCACACATGGAGCATCAAGCCTCTGTATCAGTTAATTTCAAAATTTAGTCCCCAAATGAGCAGCATCACCAGGAAACTTGCTAAAAATGCACATTCCAAGGCTAAGCTCCAGACTACTGAATCAGAAACCATTATGAGTTTTAACAAGCCCTCTTGGTCATTGTGACTTTTGTTAAAATGTGATAAACCCTGCTGTAGATGAATGGTTCTCAAATTTAGATGCACACTGGGATTATCTGAGACATTTAAAAAAAAAAAACCTGATTTCTGTGTCCATCCCCACAAATTCTGATTTAATTAACATTCAGCAAAACCAAGATATTGGGAGTTTCAAATGCTGTTCTAATATGCAACAAAGTTTGAGAACCACTGACCTAGAATGTAAGCTCCACACAAGAAGGAATTTGGTCATTGCTGAATCCCGGGTGTCTAGAAAAAGGTCTAGCAGTAGCTGACATCCCATAAATATTTGCTGAATGAATGAATAAATGAAAGGACAAGCAGCAAAACAAACCTTTGAGTTACTCTAAAAGCAGTTTGTTTGATGGTATTACAGAGGATATATCAGATTTGTCATCATTCCCTCCAACGGGAAATGCTTTCAGCTCTAAGCACAATGTAGGCATGACCCTTCCCACCAAAACATATTTGAAATACCACTCATCATCACGGCAAGATGCTGAAGCCACAAATCACAGACTCCAAGTTAGCCGATTAAAAAAGGAAAAAAACAGAGACCCAAACTAAACATAGCTATTAAATGTAATGAAAAATAAAGCAAGCATGAAGTTGGCAGATTGTAGATAGGATTGAAGGAGATAGAAACAAAAGCTTAGGACTGAAGCTTTGAATAACTACGTTGTCAGAGGATATAATGCTAGACCAGCATAGGTGATACAGTATATGTTTCCCTCTCTAATTAAAAGTCACTAAAAAAAGTATATATATAATGTGAAAACCCCACAGCAAAATATTCACCAGTAGTTGTAAGCATGTAGTAAGCTAATATATAGCAAAATGTTGAGATTTACACCAAATCTCAAAACAGAAAATTACTGCAACATTAACTTTTTGTTGTATTGTATCAAAAAACTACCTCTCCATTTTTGTTGGGCTTGCAATCAAAATAAAATAAAGTGGACAAGGGACAGGCTTAAGAGAGACATTTGTTACTGTCACACTTCTCTGCCCTAACATCACTCCATATATTCTCTGGTCAAACCACTGCAGAATGCAGGACATTGAATTAAAAGAACTCCCTCCCAAATCAGTTTCTCAAAGAGTGTTCCATTCAATGTGTGGATCAGCTAGGGGTTAACTTTTAGGCTGACTCCACTTTCCCATAATACTTGTGGAAATAAAGCCTGCCCAAATATAGGGAATCAGCTGTTGAGGCCCAGAAATTAGACACAGGAAGTTAATCCCAGCAAAATCAGCACCATGGAAAGAGAAATGAGAAACAGGGACTCATTTTCTCGAAATAGAGTTTAAAATGGGGCATTGTGCATAAGAAAATACAGCCAACTTCCAGGTCTGAGGATTAAGGTACAGAATCAGAGTAAAATAAGCCAAAAGGATAAAAATGCTGAGCCTACTACACTTGAATTTCTCAAATTTCTCTTTATTAAGGGTTCTATTGTTCCCATGGCTGGAGGATGTAGATTTAAATTTCCATTTAAAGGTAAGTGGTCACAGTGTGAGGGCCATCCAGGAACAAGCGGCTACACAACATACGATCATTTCTGCAACTTCAGAGTAACTTAAAATAGTTCAAAAGGTCCAAACGATCTTTAAGAGAAAATTAAATGGAACAAAATTAGAGGCTATATTCCTTATACACAGAGGTAATATTTTACTGTAAGACCAACATTAGGAAAATACAAAAACCAATATAACAAATTATTCTTGAGGCTTTTCAACTAACAAATTCCCTGAAAGCATCAAGAAACATTGGTTACTTTTCTCTACTTATGGTTTACCCTTTGAATCGAATTTTTTTCTACTTCCCTTCTTTATAACTGTCTCTTTGATATACAAAGACAAAATGTTAAAAAAAATCACAATGCCTGCAGTATTTTATATATTTAAAGAAGTAAATATACAAGCTCTGAAATTCAGAAAGGAAATTCAAAACCAGAGGTTCTGTAGGAATTAAGTAGAGCCAAGCAAAATTGATTTCCAAATGAGCAGCACTATTTGATGCCCAAGCATACAGACCAGATTAAGAAGGAACTGAATAGCTTTCCAAGAGAAGACAGTTGGGAGCAAGGTGTGCAGTTTGCTGCAGGAAGAGAGCTCTACCCTTAGGCTGATAGGGGCACCCTGTTCAATATGGAGGCCGCTGACAGGAAACCCTAACATGCAAAGAACCATAACTATGTTTTGGGTACTGCATTGATCATTGCTTGGTGCTCTGTAGAGTGCCTTCATTGTAATAGTGAAAATCAAGTATGTAAAACTTGATAGAATATTTACATTCTTCTTAGAAAAAAAAATCATCATTCAGAGATGTAGTTCAAATGTATACTTTATAGACTCCCAGAAAGAACATGATATTGTCATGCATACCCATCCTGAACCAGTTCTCACTGGCTTCTCCCCCACCACCACCAATTTCCCACCCCCAGGAACAGACAAAAAGAGAAATAGGGAAAATCCTATGTCAACACCAGACTCTGGAGAGAAATGCTTATATACCCATGAGTTTAAACTGTTATGATGAAAAAGTTTTAGATGCATCAACTGAAAATTAAAACTCATTGCAGACACTATGTTTTCTACCCAC